AAGTTTTTAGTAATTCCTGATACTGACTTCATAAACTGAAATGTGAATATAAACATGTTGAGTGGCTTCCAAAGCCACATCTACTGAGTAAGAAATGTCATTATTCGTCCACACTCTGTAAGTGTTGAAATAAAAATGAAAAGTGTATTTCACTATTTTTTTTGTAAAGCTGACTTATAAAAAGGTGACCTGCACCAACACCAGTTTTAGAGTAACTATTCAATAAAAAAAATTACACTTCACTGCCACTGCAGGCAATGCTGCTGACCTTTTCCTGAGTAATTTATTTATGCTCCCATAAACCAATGGGAATGAAAACCTCTACCTTGCACTGACTTCAAGAATAGATGAAAACTGCTTGTTTCTGAACAAGAGGCATCAAACAAACACAAGCACTCCAAGGATTTTTAAGGTCTGGAAACGAAGGAGTTTCTAAATTGCTTTCTTGAAGTTTTCTAAACCCAACTAAGCTCCAAAGTACCAAAGTTCACTGTTAAAAAACCCACTATATTTGTATTTCTCATTATTCTAATTTTTTCACTGAAAACATCACAACAGAAGTTTCAAAATTTGCTTACCTTCAGTTCATCCCAAGTTGTTTCATTTCTGTTACAGAGTATCAAGCTGCAAGCAACCGTGTCATTAGGAATTAGATGCACAAAGTGTTTGGAGGCAAAACTCTTGGCACACACGTCCTTCAAACTGCCGTAACAACTGGGAGACAGTGAATATATGGAAGCTATAGGCTTTGAACCTGTCCAATTTAAAAAAAAAAAAAAAAAGAACAGCATGCATTAGTGTCACAGAATAGCCATCTGCTGCATTTCACAGAGCATCAACCTTTTTCCTTCAGGCTTTTTAAACATTGTATGCTCTACAATAATTAACATTTGAGTCTACACAGACAATCTCAAGCAGAAACCTGCATGTTTTCAAAGTGTAAGGTTTAGCTCAAGATAAGAAGTAATTTTATCAGTCTCATTAGAGTTTGTAAATAACTGACATGTGCAAATAGTTGCTACAATTCTATACTTCTCATAGAACAGTCAGTGATCACTGGTGCAGTAGATCATTGCAGCCAGCCAGTACAAGACCAAACTCTTATGGAATTGCTTTTAGAATGAAAAGTAGCACTTTCTAGTCTGAAACACTTGCTCTGCTACTATGGTAGGATAAAGACAGAAATAGGAGAATTCCTGCTCCACAGCAACATCAATTTAGAAAGGTTTTCATTATGAGACTAGCAGCAAGGGTAATTGCTGCTGCAAGGGTAATTATTTTGTATACAAAAAACAAACAAACAAAAAAAACCCCACTCATTACCTGTCACTTGACTCAGGGGTTCCATCACTGACAGCCCAGCCCTGTCCACAGCAATGACATGGTTATCTTTCAGATACTGTTTCAATGATGGATGGATAACTTTCTGGCACACTACGAGGCCAACTTCATCGTTAACCAACTGCTTTCCTACATTAAGCAACTGATCCAGCTCTGACATTTCTAAAGAAACTCTGTGGTGGACTGTTACTGTTCCTTCTTCTGGGTCAAAGAGGTTTCCTGACATGGACACACAGAAAACTGCTACCTTGACAGTGTCAGAGTAAGTTCTTTTGACAGAAAACAGTTTTGCAAATTGAATTTCTGGTGTTTCTATCAATAGCCCAGGAATAACTGCAGAATCCAGAACTCTTCTACCTTTCACAGGTACTGTTATACATTTTCCTAAAACAGGCTTAGTTTCAGGATGGCATGGAACAGTAAACATAAAAGCCTTTACAATTAGCACAGCAAGATGATCAACCTCTGTTTTATTAAGCATGCAAGCAGGTTTGCTTATTAATACGCTACGGACCAAACAAAGAAGAGTCTCAAGATTACTAAAATCCACAGACACTCGGCAAGCACAGGCCTCAGACCTGAGGTAGTCAGTACACAAACTCAAAAGATGTTTGCTTATTTTTATGACAGTGCAAGATGCAATATTTAGGTTTTTAAAGCTTTCAATCAAGCTGCAGCAAAGAATGGCAGTAAATAAGCCACAGTCACTGAAGCGGGACACATGGTTCTGCACAGAGGCTGTCAAAACCTTTAATACAGGGTGACTGACAGAAAGACGACCAAGTATGGCTGAAGATCGTGAAGTTAGACAAACGTAGCCTCCCATGCCATTGTGGAGCTGTTTAAGTCTACCAGCAGGCCCATAGCAAGATTTTAATATTGCAATTAACAGAGACAGTGGCTGACTAACTGTAGTTAAAGGTTCACTAGTAAATAATGAAGGCTTTTTAGCTTCAAGGCGAGACATTTTCAAAATGAGATTCTAATTCTGATATAAAAAAAAAAGAGTGATTTCACTCTTACTCAGATCTAGAACTCACGGCACTTTAAAGCAGTACATTTTTATTCTTTGCTGACAAAGATTACTATTTTAAAATGTAAAACAATATGCTAAGTACATTAGATTCTGCACATCAGCCATCTCAAAACGAGGCTTAAATCCCAGTGTGAAATTGGTAGTGACAGCTTTATAGCTACTTCATTCACGATGATTATCTCTCTTAGTTTCTGAATGCAATCGAGCAGATTTTTTTGCAACAAAGTTTACAAGCATGGTTCCAAAATGGAAACCTATAAGTGACAGTCCTGCCACAAGCAGAATGTTCTTTTTACTCCAGCTAGCTTTCCTCATCTTCTCTTCTGGCGATACTCACAGGTGATGTTTCAAAGTTAATTATACCTACAATAAAAACAAGATTATTAGGTATTAGCACAATCTTACACCAGTATTACACAGCTTTAAATGCTTTCTTTTTCCCCCCAGAAAAACTTCACATATGGAAAAAAACTATAGTATGATATTTAATTGAAAAAAACATTGTATAGAGGTATGCAGTACACAAACTATATATTTTTATTATTACTTTCACTTCTGACCTTTAGGTTCTATGCTGTTTTACGTATAGGTTGACAGGTAGCATGGCACTACAAAATACACCAAATGGTATGAAAGTGTCAAATTACAGAGATGCTGTTTTTAAACAAAGAACAAAAAAGTGAAACATTCAGCACTACTTCCCATGCAGCCACTTCAGAAACAAAGATCTTAGCACATTTAAACAACTTCTACCTCTGCCCCTGCAAGAAGGGTTTCTTACTTCAACTTATACAGCATACACTTAATTAGCTCTTAAATACTTCAAAACGTAAAGATGCATTACTTACATCTATATATCTGTAATGTCTACAGAGACTTCTCTCATTAGAGACTGTTAGATTTAACCATTATTCTGTACTGTAACCACTATTAACAACACAATGCATTATACTAGTGTAGTCATTCTGGCCAGTTTTGAATCTGGAAAGGACACTATTACACACCAAATCAGACACAGAAGTTTGACTGTTGCCTTGAAAAGTGACTGGGGTTTGTTTAAAAATAACTTTCAAAACTTGTAACAGCATCACATTATTAACCCTACTAATACAGGATAAACAGTTTGAGAACTTACATGCATCTAGAAAAAAAAAAAAAAAAAGTCTTGTAACTACCAGATGAACTCATCTAAGAAAGAATAAAACTCTAGAAGACTAACACCACAGCACCAATACTGCATTTTCTAGAGAAGTGATCTCCTGCCTCAAAGATGTAGGCACAACTGGTTAGGAAGCTTACCTAAAACACAGCGCTGATGTTACTCTTCCTTATTTTTGCGATCACTTTGCATTATATATGTCACAATTCCAGGTTCTGGAATAATCTCCTCTGTCTTCACTTGGAAAAGAGGACTGGACTTAATGTGGAACCACGACCAGTGCACCAGGCTAAGGCTAATTCCCATAACAATCAGAACTTTGTAGTCCTTCCATAAGGTTCTGAGGTTCATCATAAATTGGCATTTATGTACCTAGACAAAAATAATTAAAATACATTTCAGAAATTCTATTTCCTCTTACAACAGCACAAAGCTCAAACGTAAATATCTTTTATTACAGCACAGCAAACAATTATAACAACATGACAAAGGAAAGCTTTACTTTATGACCTCCAGGAAAAGAAAGGTTTTTAAAGTAACCTCAATTCAGACATTTTGATCTGTTAATCATTATGTTGCTGCAAGTTTTGGCACATTAAATGTTAAAGTTTCGTGATGTTTCCCTAATTACACATTATCACCTCAGGCAGCAGATAATTGAAGGCTAAGTCAACACATAAAGCTGTATCAAATACACCATTTCTCCTGCTCACTTCACAAGAAAACTCGAGGGGCTCCTCAGAGAGCATCAGCTTTTAGCCTGCAGGCTGTGCTGTGCTTCTGATAGCACTCCAGGCTGCCCAGGCCGGCAGTTCAGCCTGCCTGCCTTACCTCTGTGCCCTTGAGCCTCAGAAACTACAAGGGCATCACGAAGTGAACTCAGCCGCTCTTATAAAAAATACGAAGAGCCACCCACACGAAGTCTCATGGAAAAACATGTACCAACGTGCACACAGGAAGCGACAATTACAAATATTTTGATTTTGTATCACGACATCTTGGTTTGAAGACCTACAAAGGTACAGCTCAGACAGCAAGCGTTCCCGGCCGCTTCATTCTCTCACTGACGAGGAAAAACCCGGCACGTGAATTCGGGCTCTGAGCCGGCCCCACAAACGCAGGCTGAGGTGCCTCTGCAGAGCCGTGCCGGCGAGAGCCCCCACGTCACCTTACCTCACCCAGTAACACGGCCCTCCCTGACAACCTCCAGACGCAGAATGGTCGACGGGGCAACGGCCACCAGGAACGAGTTGGAGAAAAGACGCGACCGTCCAGCGCTCACCTCAGCTCGCCAGGCCGGGCCAAGAGCCGCGGGGCGCGGGAGGCGACAGCAGGAAGCAGGCTTACAGGGACCGAAAACGCCTCTCCCACCCCGAACAGGGCTCGTGCGAATATACGCGAGGACGTCCTTCTCCCTGCGTGCCGTTGGCCAGCCCTATATCACGTGATCAACGAGTGCGCTCGCTCTCCTACAGTCACCCGCCGCCCTGGCGGCCATTTTGCTTTAGGGCAAAACGCTGGGCGGGCCGCGGCTACGGATGGCGGCCATTTTGGATAGGGGAGAAGAAGCTCGCGTTTGGCAGCCATCTTGCTTGGGGGCAATATAGCCGTTAGGACCGGCGGAGGCGGGCACGGCGTGGCGGGAGACGCGGCGCGAGCGCGGCGTAGCACCGCTGCTCCCAAGCTGGGTCTCGTTGCATGTAGCCGCCGCGTCTCAGGCTGCAGTCCCGCTTTCCCTGGAAACAGAGGCGCGCGGTGGCGGCTCGGAGTAACGGCCGTCCCTCAGGCTCCGCCTCCCGAAGCTTCCCGTTGATTTTAAAAAAGCCGCCTCGTTTTCGCTGCCTGCCGTTGTGCCCCGTTCGCTCCTGCGCTCCTCTGCCTGAGTCTTCGTGCAGGTAGATGCCGTTACCTGACCGCAACGAGTTCAAGATGCTCCCTCATCCGAGCCTCCTTTTGCTTGTCTTATTCTGTACTTCTGTACTCGATCTTTGCTTTCCCCGTTCCTTCTGTTGCTGTAACACTTCTGTCGTATTTGCAATTTGTTGGTGGAGAATTGCAAAGTTTATAACCGTAGCCAAAAGACAGGTTTATTAGAAATTAACTTAAAAACTTTAACGTATACTCTGAAAGGAGCATAGCAGTTCTGAAAGATACATAGAACAGCTGGGATTCACTCAGCAAAGCCAGAAGATTGCATCCAGCCCATCTGACAGGGCGCTCTGGTGTGCATCTCACTGCTTTCACGTATCAACAGCTGTGTAGGTGAAACTTACCACTGTTGCATTTGTGTTGTACTCTAAAGGTGAACTGACACTCTGAATGAACACGTTCAGATAACAGTGAAATAAAAAAGAATTGCAACCTTGTTGGAAGAGTAGTTTCTGATGAAGTGGAAAAAAAAAAAAAAAATGGGCATAATGGGCTGGAATTCCCAAAACGGCAATGCCCACGGGTGATGGTGTATTTCTGCAGAAGCAGAAATGCTTTGTAAGTATGCGTGTTGCACGGTGTTACCCTGCTGACCCAAGGTCCATGGTCGACATTTAGAAATAGCCAGAGCACTGGCAGTGCTTGCTGTCCAACACTTAAGCTCCAGAGAGTTCAGAAAAAAAAAAAAAAGTTTTATTTTGACTCTAATTGATAACTAACGGTGGCACATCCTAGAGAGGTATCCAATTATTGTTCTGGTTTTGCCTTTTTTTCAGGTATCCACCTCTTCTCACATGTGATAACAGCTCCCAAAGATGGGCAGAGCATGAACAGTTTGTAATGTGAGAAGTTGCTGTATGTAGGCATGTGTAGCAGGAGTTTTCAGTTCTGTCAGCACTGAAAGCCACATCTTCACTAAGGTAAGATGCTGTTAATCAGCTGACTGACTTGTGTAATGCTATAATGAGATAGAAAGTACAGTGATAATAGCAGGGTAGCAAAGCCTTGGCTGTAGCAAATGAGAATGAACCCAAATGCAGCAACTATAGAAATGAAGAAAAAGAGCTGCTTACCTCTGAAAGGCCTCTGGTGGGTAGAGATCTCCACCAAGAGATGCCTTTGCCTCCACTGCCAACCCTTAAATGAGGTTTGGGAAGGGGTGGATCCTGGCTCCGGACATTTCAGTCACTCAGGAGTGTTGCATGCACCTGAGCTCCCTGGGTTGGCCCTGCCTTCCTACCAGGTGCTCCATTGCTGGTTTGGGCTGTTGCTTCTCATTTCTGCTAAAACTTGCTTTCTGGGAAGCCCCATTTCCTTAATTTTCTAAGTTTCTGCCATTTCACTTGACTTTAAATTGTGTCATTTCTAGAACATGCCTGATGCTTCTTACCAGGAGGTTGTGTATCTAGTTCTGGGGCTTGTTTTGATGTTTGTTTGCTCATTGTGGGGTTTTTTGTTGGTGAAAGATGTCCATCAATAATTTAGATGTTTGAAATACTACAAATACCATATTGAGGATTTATATTTTAGAGAGTAAAATTTCTTAGGTAGGTTTTTCTGTCATGTGTAGTTGTCTTCATGTCTTCTTATGGGAGATTTCGTTTAGGACTTGGGTTATTTTGTGGTGGATGCAGAATTCCATGAATCAGATTTTGTTATCAAATAACAGCAATTGTAACAGACCTTCATCCTTTGGTTGCAACAAAGTATCAAAGTATTGTAGAGATGGATGGTGTCTTTTCTTGTAGCATTGTTGTAGGATTTTTTCCCTCATTTATTGGTGTCTCAATATTATGGTGTTTTGTTTTGTGATTTTTTTTAAATCTTTTTTTTCCTTTTTTTGTTTTTTTTTCTTTCTCTTATTGCTTTGTAAATTAGATTTGGGGAAGAGTTCTTTCTACTAAGGGTCGTGGTACATCAGTAACAGCATCCTTATTGGGTGGCATGTTGTAATGTTGGTGATGCCAGAAAAATATCTATGAGCATTTGGTGAAAAGGTGGTACCCTGGCATTATTTCAGCTCTTCTTTGTATCTTTACTAGTGTAAGGGTTAATGATAAAACATGGGCTCTTCAAATATTCATGAGTTCACAAGCTTCCATCACTGATGTGAAATGTGTGCTTTATGCAACTCAAAAGTGATATACCACAACTATTTTTTGTTATTTATGCCTACTGTGTTTTCATTTGCTTCTTTTTGGATGTGGGGAGATGTAGGGATCATTAGTAAACCTCTAGATTTACTAATCTTTCACTGAAATTAAAAACCCAGCTATGAAAGTCCCAGCTGGTGTGAATAGGGAGAATAGATTTCTTTTGTTGTTACTGTTCTAGCAGAGTCTGATATGCCTTAAGTGTCTGCGTATTTTGGGGTGTGATGTATCTTACTGCTTGCTTTATATTTTTGCATGAAGAGTGAGTAGTCCTTCCTTGCAGTTTCTGAACACCAGGAGTACAATTTTGTAGATTATTATAAGAAATTGAGAAATGCATTTGGTGTTTTTTTGTTTTGTTTTAGTTTTTTGTTTTGTTTTTCCTTTGGTGGCTGCTATTCATTCTTTTTAACTTCTATCTGACCAAGTTCTAACAGCTGCTACTGAGTTACTGAGTTTGATCTCTAAGATTCTTATAATAGTTCTGCTTAAACTCTTGTTTAACTCTTTTTTGAAGCTAAATAAGGAAAATGACTGTGTTTTTAAATATGTAAGTGTAGTGTCTGACAGAGACAAATATCACCAAACAGACTTGTGTCCTGAAATTTTGACAGCTCTCTCACAATGCTTTACAATAGCTGGAAGATTATGATGAAAAATAGGTACATATTCCCAAATTTTAACTCTTTTTTTTAATACTATCTATCAGAAAATTGACTGTATTTGTCTAGTTTAGGAGTCTACTTCTGTAGGTATCTTGTAGAATATGAAAAACAGCTCTGTTCTTTGGAATTGTCAGGGCTCATGCAGCCCAATGTTTCTCACCCAGTATGCCAAATAAAGCAATCTAAATCCTATTTGGGATAAGCAGGAGGATATCTGAAATTCAGTTCAAACTTTGCGCAATCAAAATAGCTTTCAGGTCACATTGCTTTGTGCTTGTAATAGTCTGGAGCTTTAAATGAGCGTGCAAACATGTGTGGTCTGTGAGAAGCCATACTGTCTTTAATCTTTCCCCACTGTCACCCATTCAACCTATCCCCCTCTTATCCATCTGACAAAAAAAAAAAAAAAAAAAAAATTGTGCTCTTTTCCTGAGCTGATTTAAATGATACTTGTGATTATTTAAACTGCCAGTAGTAGTAGCAAATAGATGTTTCAATTAAGAAATTTTCTTGCTGCAGTTCAACCTTGCTGAACTGAGCACGATGGAGGAGACTTTCTGTAGGACTGCTGATGTATACAAGCTGTCACGGGTTCCCTGCTTACACAGAAATGCAGTACCCTTAAGATAGGAGGGGACGAGCTTAGGGCTGAGGATTCTGACTAGAACTGGCATTACTTCATATATTATGATTATATGTTTTATTTTAATATATGTTAATACATCATATTTATATTTTATTAGTCTTGTTTTCTTAAAAGAAATACTTTTTTTTAAGTTTTGCGTGGTTGTTTTTTGTTTGTTTGTTTTTTACTTCCCTCTTTATTCTTTAAGCTATGCCAAGGGATTTCATGTAAAGGTATTATTTTGGAAGAGAAACTAGGTCCAGGACATCCACATAGGGCCAGTGGTTGACATAGTAGTAAAGGAATATTCCAGGTTTAGTTGGCTGCCACCTGACAGTTTCTTTAGGATAAGTAAGGGTAGTCGGTCTCTAGCGCTGGGCTGGGAAATAGTTCTAGTTTTGTATTAGAGACGTTGGTTGTTCAGTGTCTGGTGATAGAGTTCAGTAAGGTGAGCTGAGACAGGTATTCTCCTTTAAAGAATAATTTTCCATAGTTTCTGTGCAGCAGAGTATAAATATCAAGTCTGAAGAGTGGTAGTAATGGGGAAAAAAAACCCAAAAACTAGTAGATTAAAAAGAAATCCTAGTTGGGCATAATGAGTTTTTCCTAGTGCTGATCATTTTTAATTGATGTTTTTATAGGACCAGCTTACGCTGAGCTGTCATGACATCCAACAAGTTTGTCATTAAGGTAAGTAGAATGCCGTAGCTTTTATTTAAAAAATAGAAAGAAAATATAAAGGTACTTATAGTATTTCTTAGAACACGTGTAGATTGGCTTTAGAACTTAATGATGAAGAGGAGCATCCTTCAAGCTTCTGATCATACTAATGTATTTTGGGTCTTTGGAAGCAAGCTTCTGGAATTGCTGGTGTATCGTGGCAGAGCCAGTTGAAGATCAAAAATCACATAACTGGAAGTGATTCATTGTGTGATTAGAATTAGAAGCTGCATGAATTCTCAGTAAAACAGCACTTGCTATAAGACAAAATTTAACACTGATTCTTCTCTTATCTTGTAAATATCTTGTAATATTTTTGTGCACTTCCCAGATAATCTAGCAGTTCCTGGTTTAAGAGGCAGTAATGTTCTTAAACTTTTTATCACACTCGACTCTGCTTGCATCTCTTCCTGCCTCTTTTCTGTTCTCAGCTGTTACTTGTGCTTAGTGCCTGGTAAACTGATGTTACAATTTATTTTTCTGTTTCTAATGTCATACTGAAGAGTAACGCATTTCAAAACATTCTGTAATAAATATAGCACTTTATATTTGCTTCTTTCTTAACTATGTCATCTTATGACTAACTTAATTGTTGAGTAAGATTGGTGAATGTTTCTCTTTTGGACCACTTTTCCTGTTTCTGGTTTGTTCACGTATGTCTGAGGTAGTTTAGATTAGGCATGCATTTCTGAATGATTAGAGCAATGTGTTATTCTCTTGGAAATGTCATTTGGTTTTTTTACCCAGGAATTTTCTCCTTTAGAGAAAAGACCCTTTTCTCAGTAGATAATTTTGGTGGTGATGTTTTGGTGGTTTGTTTATTTGGGCTTTTTTTTTTTTTTGAGCACAGTCACAAAAATATTGCTGACTGATCAGGCTGTGAAAGCTGTTGAAATCTTCTAGTGTGTGTATGAAAATTGTTAAATAAGCAGACCAAACCCTTTATTTTTTAAATGCTATCTGCATTCTTTCCCAAGTAGGAGTTCTCTCTCTTGCTAGGACACTTAATTCTTTTTACTGTTTAATGTGATTAAACAGCTTAAACTGACAGTATTGTGTCTGTTATTTCAAAGATCTCCTCAACTGACATACTGTTGTTAACTAATTCTCAATTAATACAGCTATTCTATCAGGAGAAGTACCTTTGATTTTGATATTTTGGCTCCATGTGCTGTTGGTGTATGGATGGAGTAACAACAGAAGCTGAGGGTGAAGCCATTGTCTTTCTCAGCTGAGATCTCATGATATCATTAGTATTAATGTAAATGCCAAAGAAAACAAGTGATACGAGTCACAATATCTTTGCTAGATAAAGTGGTGCAAGATTGCTTGTTACTGATCTGTGTAATTACAGTTTGCTGATCCAGCAGACTGTACTTTATTCAGTACAGACTCTAGCAATTGCTATGTCTGCTAGTTCAGTATCAGCAAATGGATCATTTCTCATTGAGCTTGAATTCATAGGTAAGAATATAATAGATGCATCTTTTGAGATACAATTTCATTTTCTTCCTGGTAGTGTTTAAGGAATAAGCATTAATTTTTGTGCAGAATCTTGAAAATTAACTCCTTGACTTTTCATTGTATATTTGATGCATTTTATTCAAGGCAAACATGACAAAAGTAACTGGAATTCTTTTTGTGCACAAAGATGCATATATTTTTATTTTAGATTAGATTATTTTGTGTGTGAATTTTTTGCTTCTTTGCATTCACTGAATGTGAGTAGTTCATTTTTGAAGACTGTTCAACTTTCACATAATTTTCTCAAGGAAGATCCTCGTGGAGAAGATTCTTCATTAAAGGGCAGAGCACAGGGAGAGTATAGAATGTCCTGTAGTCTTGATTTTAGGTTTCTCATGTTTGGTGGGGGATCATTTTATGGAATCTGAAAATATTTTATGCTTTCCTTGTCTTCTACATTTTCTACCTTTTATGTTTTGTAAGTATGCATGATTTAATAATTTTGGTAAGAGACTGGAAATTACAGCTAATTCATCTTTCAAGACTTAGCTGATTTGATCAAAATTTAAGAAGAAAACTCCTGTAATGTGTTTAATGGCTTTGCTTCTTAATTATGGTGTTAAATGAGGTCTGTATCTGCAGTGTAATGGTCCGCTATTTCCAGTAGAGGGAGCAATTGACCAAATTTTGAAAGATGCCTCTGAGTCTGGTTATGGGCAATTAAAGGCAAATGAAATCAAATAATTGATGCAGTAAAATCGCTTTAAACCTTAGTGCAAAATCTGCGGTCAAGCCCTAAACACACATTCTTTGATTGCCACTTGGATGGATTCCACAGTGGTGTGCAATAGATAATATTTTGCACAGGTTACTTTGATCAGGCGCTTTCAATTTTAAATAATATTGATACTTCATAAAGCACTGAATGGCAAAAACGCCCCTAAATCTGGAAAGTAAAACATATGAATTTAATTAAGCTTTCTGTGTTGCTAAAATATTTTACTGCTCTTTTGAGAAATAAATCTTAACTTTAATTGGTGAGGCTTACAGCAAAATTATGAACTTTATACAGACTTGAAAAGTAATATAATTGGGGCCTTGTTTTAAAACTTTGGCCAAACTAGAAAGAATATTCTTCCAAAATTATGGAAATAGAATTTATTCATGTGAAATGCAAATCTAAATGCAGTAATTTTTATAACTCTAATAGAAAAATCTCATTTGCTGTTTTCTGCTGGAGACTTCTTAAGCTATTACTACACTTCAATAGCTCAACTCAAAGGGAAGCTTATTGTACTTTGGCATTTCCTACATTCAGAAATTAAGAGCTCTGTTCTATCTCAGACTTGCAGGCCTTTGGAAGTGCATATTTTAGAGTCAGTGTTCTCTGGTCACTCAGCACAATGCAGTTGATTTTTCAGCATTGTTCCTTGTTATCAGTTGAAATTATTGTATGCTGGGAGCAGCCCTTCCTACTTTAATCTTTTTTTGCTTACTTTAATTTGAAAGCTCCTTTGCAGGAGCAAGTGTATTTTTCTGTGTTCTATTACTTTTTTAACTGGAAATAAATATGATGGTACTGGATGTGAAGAGATAGGAAAATGACAGTGCAACTGTAACGTGATCAGTTTTTCCCTTTATTTTCCTTGTTTATGCATGCATAACTTAATTATCTATAATACAGTGAAATCATTAAAGTGTTGCTTTATAAGCAAACACATCTTAGTATCTGTCTTTTAATATCTTAAAGTGCTCACAAAAAAGTGTGCATGCCAATTATGTTGATTCTAGGTCCTAACAGTAGGTGGAAAGAAATGGAAGGATATCTTATCAGAGTACCTACGTTGTTGTACAGGTCATTTTAGGGTCTGCTCACAGACCTGCATAGGATACACTTGTGTTTGGTTTGGAAGAAGAAAACTGACAATTTACTTGTATGACTTCATTTTTTTGTGGTGTTTTTTGTTGTTGTTGTTGTTAGCTGTTGCCTGAAATACTGCACAATGATAATAAGTGTTCTGTATCAGGTACATCTACCTGATCCATAGATTACATCTATATGATCAAACAGATGAAATGTATGATTTCTGAAAGCATCATGTTTTGTTAGCTGGTATTTCTTTAAACATTTTCTATACAAGAAAGAGGCATGTTTTTCTTCTTGCAGATTGTTTGGAGAGGAAAAAAAGGAGGGAGACGAGTGGGGTTTCTTATCTAATCTTTTAATTTTGTCCGTTTCCTTATAAGGAGCAATGGAGAATAGTAATGCATTTTACTACTGTATTAAGTCCATATGTAAATGAATACAGTGCTCTCAAGTGGAGAACAACAAATACTACTTATATAAAAAATATTTTGAACACATCCTGTGACTGCCCAGTTATTGGACTGATACTACAGATGCTTTTTTCACATACACAGCTTTGAACACTACAGCACAATGTTTTCTGGCTTGAGTTATGTTTTTTGAGAGCACTTAGTTGAACTAACTAATCAACAAAGAAATTCTGATGTTCTTTTCCGCACTGCAAAACAAAGAAATTTGTGTGTGAAATTGCTGTTAGTGGAATAATTGCAAACATTTCAGTACAAATATGCTGTCACGGAGTTGATCAGATCAATCTATGTCCGTGACAGGGGCGGCAGGCCTCTGCCCTCCCCCCCCACCCCGGTCCCACAAAAATGGGAAGGAAGGAAGGGAGGAAAAGAGCAGCGGCAACAATCTATGGAGGAAAACTTATTTTACTATAATATTGGAATACAAAATAACACAATATATACAATTTAATTGAAATTGAGATTAATAAATCAGACAAGATGAGAGAGAGAGTTCCCGGGACCGAGTCAAACCTGAAAAGCTTGGAACGGCCAGGAAAGCACCTCCAGCACCCACTGCCAGGCAGCAAGAGAGCGGCCCCCCCCACCCGGAAGGGCCAGATCCCATGACTGCTGTAATGTACAGGGATAGGTAGCTGGAATTGGGGCAGTGACACTTTAATGCCCCGTACACTACATGATGTTTTGATGTGGAATACTGAAACCATAAAAAAAAACAAAAACAAAAAAACATAGAACCATGACATATGCTAAGATTCAATTGTCTAAGTTGGGACTGAATTTGCAAATGTGTTTTGAATCTTAGAAGTATAATACCAGAGTTCTGTAAACTGATTAAAGGTTTCTGAATTTTAGAAGCGTGTGTTCTTATGTTTGCTTTTTGGATCTTTAAAATTTGAAGAATAGCTGCATTAACTACTTCATGGTGGATGTAGTTCTCCCAAAGCAATATTGGTCAAATCAACTATAAATACAAGTGAGTGGAATTATTATTTTCAATTACTATCATACCCATCTGTATAATCAAAAAGCATTAGGATGTTATAATCACAAAATAAACAAGAGAGTTAGGCAAAGCAGACTATGATAACAAAAGAGAATAAATGGAAGACTTACCCCTATCCTGGGCTCACCACAAAACACCAGCAGAGCAGATCTCTAGAAGAGAT